CCCATTGGACCTAGGGAACAATATTTATCAGGGTCCACAAACCCAACATGAGCCTTATTTTTAGAAACACGAAAACAAAATAATTTTATAAAGAAAAAAGATTTTAACTTACAATTTAAAACTCATAATTTTACTTATAATGAAATGACAGTTTTTTTTTTTTTTTGTAAAATTTTGATTTGTCATAAATACAATCATGTAAAGTTCAACTTCTTTGTGATGTCATTGTGGACAAATTGTGAGTCTCAAATATTTCTCTTTTATAAATAATGATTATATTTGTGTACTATAAAATACTTATGATATCATGGGTTTGTATAATATTCATAATTATGATTTTAAACATGAGCTGATATGTATGGGCTTTTGTCCTTTCAATACTGATATACCTTGATATATCAATTTGAATTAAAGTCACATTTCCCTATGTATACGGTCAATTTGACTGCTATAAATCTCTTTTTTGAGGCTCATAATTTTAAAAAATTCACAACCATGACAGAAAATTCTCGATATGTATCAGTCGGTACACTCAATACCATTACCATGTGACCGATACCAATATATCTCTCAATATCACTATTTAAAACTATGTTCATAGCATACATGAGCAGGGGGACCCCTTTTTACTCACCCCAAAACAAGGGGACCCCTTTTTAGAATTTTTTTCCCATCAATGTATTTTTTGTATTTAATTTTTGTGTTGATAGATTTATTGGAACTTGGCTGAAGTGGGTAACTTGTACTTGATTTTTGTGTTTGTAGATTTATTGAAACTTTGACTGACGTAACTGGCTTTTTAGCTTGTAAACTTTTTGCTCAACTCTAGCATTGTATTTGGATTTTAAATTCGTAAAAAAAGTTACAAAAGAGAAAATAAATTAAACACATACTTTTTTTTTTTAATACAAATCTCTACACAAATCCGTACACAAGAGAAAAAAGCAAAAGAAAAACAAATATGTTTTTAGATCATAAAAAATAGATGTTCTGCATAACAAGAGGTACATACCACATGATGCTATAGTATAGAAAAATATACTCCTTTGAAATGTCTGTCCTCCTGCTGAAAACAATGAAGAATAAGAGATTCAAATTTATTCATGGCAGTATAAATAATCCAATTCCATACCCGCCAAGAAGCACAAGACACGTTATGGGACTCATCATTTGCAAAGGTGGAATGCAATATCTTGAGCTCCTTCTCTTATTTTCTTGTTTTTGTTTAAAGTTTTCTATTGCAATAGACACCATTACAGTCACTCAACCCGCCACTGACCGCGAAAAGATAATCTCAAGCAACAAGGTCTTTCAATTGGGATTCTTCAACCCTGTCAATACTACCAATTGCTATGTCGGTATTTGGTACAACAATGTGCCTGTGAGGACTGTGGTGTGGGTTGCTAATAGAGACATGCCTCTAACCAACTGTTCTTCTGGGACTCTGATCATAGCCAAAGATGGCAATCTAGTACTTTTGAATGAACAGAAAGAGGTTATTTGGTCATCAAATGCTTTAAATTCCACGGCTAATTCAAGTGCTCAGTTGTTAGACACTGGGAACCTTGTATTGAAAGATAATTCTAATGGAAATACAAGATGGGAGAGTTTTAAGTACCCTTCAGACTCATTCATACATAAGATGGAACTTATCAGTGATGCAAGTACAGGTGAGAAGAGCCTGTTGAAATCGTGGAAAAGCCCTTCTGATCCATCCGTTGGAAGCTTCTCTGGAGGGATTAATCTTTTAACCATCCCAGAATTCTATATATGGAACGGTAGTCATCCGTATTGGCGTACTGGTCCTTGGGATGGTCAAATCTTTATTGGAGTGCAAAACGACAGCCCTTCATATCATGATTTTGTTAATCTTAAAGATAACAAAGAAGGAACTGTATCTATTATTGCCACTTATACAGCTACGTTAACATACATTGTCCTGAGTCACCAAGGAAGTCTATTGCAGATGCTTTGGAATAAAGGGAAGCAAGAGTTGGAGGTTGCACGGTCACTTCCAGCTGAGTGTGATGTATATGGTAAGTGTGGGCCATTTGGAAGTTGCAATTCAAAGGTCTCGCCAATTTGTTCCTGTTTGAGAGGGTTTGAGCCAGCGCTCGTGGAGGAATGGAATAGTGGAAATTTTACTGGTGGGTGCACAAGGAGGACAGCTTTGCAATGTCAGAGAAATATTAGTAGTAGCAGCCAAGAGAGCAGAAAAGATGGGTTTTTGAAGCTGACAACAATGAAAGTGCCAGAACTTCCAGAGTGGTCAGGGGCTCTAGCAGATGAGTGCGAAAATCAGTGCTTAAAGAATTGTTCATGCACAGCTTATGCATATAAATTTGGCATTGGTTGCATGTTATGGAATGGAAACTTAATTGACATGCAGCAATTTTCCTTCGGTGGAGCAGATCTATACATCCGTGTGGCATATTCAGAGCTTGGTAATATATTTTACCTTCCATATTCTTGTTTAACTTAAGTTTGTGCTTCAACTTTCCATTTTGCTTTCATTGTTTGTTTAGATTAATAAAGCACAAGTTACCAGATTTCACTTACATATCTGACATTTTTTTGTTAATTCTCCAAATACTTTAGTCAATTTTTGTTGCATTAACAAACTTTGTGCTATGATTTTCTGAAGAAACTTAAATGGCTATAACATTTGTGATAAGCTTGTAATTATGTGGTCTATGACTTTGTTCTAGCTAAACTCATTTGATATTTCTTCCAATTCACAGACAAAATTCGAAACATGAAAGCTGTCATTGCAATTTCAGTGATTATAGGGTCAATAATCGTTGTTGTTTGCACATACATTTCATGGAAGTGGATGGTTAAACACAGAGGTACGTACAACCAAATAGAGTTATCTTATCTAAAAAATATATGAAAATTGAATATTTGCTCTAATAAATTTTTTTGATAAATAAGTATTTGCTCTAATAATGTAGTCGATAACCTACACTTGCTTTTGAATCAGGAATGAAAAATAAGAGTATCATGAAAGTCTTTAAGAAATGGTCATTGTCTTCTGAATGTAATACTGAAATGTCGCATGTGGATAATTTGAACCGAATTAAACTTGAAGAACTACCACTCTTCGACTTTGAGAAGCTTGCAACTGCAACAGATGAATTTTGTGAGACCAATAAGCTTGGACAGGGTGGTTTTGGTCCAGTTTACAAGGTAATGATTGTTCATGTTCAGCTTGATGCAATGTTATTGAAAAGCAAAATTAATCTTGTTCTTGTATTTGTCTTAGGGGAAATTACCAAATGGACAAGAAATAGCCGTGAAAAGGCTTTCAAGATCCTCTGACCAAGGGCTAGAGGAGTTTATGAATGAAGTTGTGGTGATTTCTAAACTCCAACATCGTAATCTTGTTAAACTCCTTGGATGTTGTGTAGAAGGAGAAGAAAAGATGTTGATCTATGAATACATGCCAAATAAAAGCTTGGATGCATTTCTCTTCGGTTTGTACATGCAGAAGTTCTTGTTTATTGTAGTGTGAATTTCATATCTCTCTATATTCTAAACTTTTGGCCTTACCAAATTATAACTTCTATGCAACATAATTTCATTTATTTATTTATTTGATAAATACAGCATAATTTCATTTATATTCACTCATTTGTTGTTTTCAACAACATTATTTTAGATCCAAAGAAACAAAAGCTCTTATATTGGAGTAAACGCCTCAACATCATTGAAGGGATATCATTCATCGAGATTTAAAGGCTAGTAACATTCTGTTGGATGAAGAGCTAAATCCTAAAATTTCAGATTTTGGTATGGCAAGGATTTTTGGTAATGATGAACGTCAAGCCAACACAAAAAGGGTTGTTGGAACATAGTAAGTTTATGTCTCTTTATCCCAATCTTCATAATTTCATTGCAGAACCCCTTCTTTCTTATGAAATTAATCTAATGCAATAAAATCAATTTTATCATGATGCAGCGGCTATATGGCTCCTGAATATGCAATGCAGGGGAGCTTTTCCGAGAAATCAGATGTATTCAGTTTTGGAGTATTGTTACTAGAGATTGTAAGCGGAAGACGGAACACTAGTTTTTATGATGACGAGCGAGCTTTGAGCCTTTTAGGATATGTTAGTCCACTTGAGTCATTTGCATCATTTAGTTATCTAATAATCCAAGGTTTATTCACAGTTCAAACTTAACTTTTACATGGCATATCACTACTAAAATTTCAGGCTTGGAAATTGTGGAATGAAGATAAAATTGTGACACTCATAGATCCGAGGATATCTTGTCAAGATTTTGGACCGGAGATCTTGAGATGCATTCATGTTGGACTATTGTGTGTGCAAGAATTTGCAATAGATAGGCCTACCATATCTGCAATTCTTTCTATGCTAAGTAATGAAATTTCATATCTTCTAAAGCCAAAGCAACCTGCATTTACTGAAAGACCAACAACATCAAAGAGACAGTCTTTGCAAAAAAATCAGAGCCGATGTTCTAGGAATGAACTTACTATTACAACTGTTGATGGTCGATAACATCCAAGGTGTTGAGATGATTATTTTTATTTTTGTTCTTTCCATTTACATGTACATGAGGATTTTTGTTGAAGTTTCAAAGTTAGTTTACTTTTCATTGTAATTTTAACCAAGATATCTCACATCAAGTAGTTTACTGATAGACCACCTATCTGTTAAGGGAGAGTCATTACAGTTGAATGAGCTGTAATTGTTTTGTGTTTCCTAGTCTGTAATGTGACAGCTGGCAGTGAGGTCGTTAGGGATTAGTTAGTGTTGTAATTAGTTGTATAAATATTCTTGTATTATCTGTAAAAGATTGGGAAAAGAATGAAAAGTTTTCTGGTTCTGGTTTTCTCTCTGTTTTTTCTCTCTCTATCTTTTCATGGTATCATAGCATAAGACCAAATTACCATTGCGACATTACTTCCTCATATTCTTTCTCTCCGTCAACTTCAATTCCTGTTGAATCAAGCTCTAGAACAAGATTCACTCTTCAAAGTCCTCTTTTTTTTTTACTATTGGACATATCTAATTTGGTTCCAATTAAGCTAGATTATTCCAATTTCAAACTCTGGCAGTACCAAGTTACTACAACATTATGTGCTTATGACTTTCTAGCGATCATTGACGGTTTGAATTCGTGTCCTGGTAGGTGTTTATGTAAAGAATCTGGTGACTTAATAGAGAATTTAAACCCAATTTTTTTTTTTTATCAATGGAGGATTACAGATCAAGCGCTGATTACCCTAGATTCTATTGATTCTTATCTTCAATGTATTAAGCCTATTCGAGACAGACTTACCGCCATTTCAATCTATGTTGATAATGAAGAACTTCTACATATCGCTATAAATGGTCTTTCGAATGAATATAATGCCTTTCACTTAGCAATATAAGAACTTGAAATGAACCTCCATCATTTGAGGATCCGCATGTTCTTCTTTTTTCGATACATCGGAAGATGGTCCACATGTTCTTCTACATGCTGAAGAATTGTCGCTCAAGGAATCATCTGATTCAGTTGGACCAATGGACTTTGTTGCTACTTCTAGTAATTCATTCAAGACAACATGTTACTTCTTAGCATCATTACATACAACAATCATTCATTTAAGATTTAGCTCATTATTTAGAAACGGAAGGTTTGCCACTACTCCTTTTTCCAATTGAGGTGGAGGATCACAACAGTACAAATCACCTTCTTCTTTTCAAGATTTCAGCAGGCCTATTTGTCAGATCTATGACAAATTGGTCACATTGCCTTGGACTATTATTATCGCATGAATTATGCCTATCAAGGCATGACACGTCCTTCTAAATTGGCTGCCATGTCTGATCTCTCTCTCAGTCATGAGTTTCAAGGCAACGATACGGTTCTATTTGCAATGATCAAGGCTCACTTATCTCTCATTAGGGTAACAGTCTCTTAACTACAGATTTTCGTACTATCAAACTTGATAATGTTCTTAGAGTTCCTCACATTTCCTCTGATCTACTTTCTGTTCATAAACTTTTTTTGATAAAAATTGCTCTTTTAATTTTGATGATTCTCATTTTACCATTCAGGACAAACACCTGGAGAGAGTCCTCTACATATGCTTGAGTAAAGATGGCCTCTACCCAATCACAGTCACTGTCATGGTCTTTCCTTCACCTGATGCTTCTTCTATTGCTGCTAATGTTGGAGCTAGGGTTTCTCATCCACTTTGGTGTGACAGAACAACCCATGCTCTTCACTAGATGCTCAACACTCTTTCTATTTCTCAGAAGATCCTTCTTTTTTTGCTTCAGAATAATAAGAAAATTGTTTGTGAACGTTGCTTTAAATGTAAAATGTCTCAATTATCTTTTCATACATCTACTATAAGAGCTTCTGCTCCTTTAGATCTAGTTCGTAGTGATGTTTGGGGAGTTGTTTCTACATATGATTTTAGGTATTATGTTTCCTTTTTGGATTAGATTCACATGGTTCTTCCCTTGGAAATATATGTCTCAGGTTTTCTCTACCTTTTGTCACTTTAAGGTTTATATGTTGAGAACTTCTTTTCTGAAAAAATAAGACTTTGACTCTGGTTGGGAAGAATCAGAAAGGTAATTCAACTCATATAAAAAATTAAAAATTCCTTCTCATTCACTCTATTTTTTTCATTTTTTTGTGTAAAAGTTCATTTCCAAACATTTTTTTTTATTTCATATTTTAATAAAAATAAAAATTAAAAATTACTCCCTATACAAGCTGATATTTATTGGGAAAATTACTTTGGGAAAATGATGTACATGTAGGAGAAGGGAAAAAAAATTATTAACACATGAAGGGTGCAAGTGTGTCTGTGATGGGGTGCAAATGAAAGACCGTGGCTTGCACCCCTCATGTGTTGATAATTTTTTTCTCCTTCTCCCACCTATATGTAATTCTCCCAATTACTTATCACATGTATCATCAAAAGATTCTTACAAAATGATAAAAAAATAATTATAATTATAATTATTAATATGTATAAAGTTTACCATTTATCTATAATTTTTTTTCAAAAAATCACACTTGATTGAAATAGTCCCATATTTATTCATCAAGTTTGTTGTCCTCACACTCTAGAACATAATGGAGCTGTGGAAAGGAAACATTGGCATATGAGACTGCTGTTTCCTTATTTTTTAAAGCTTATATGCCCCTAAATTTTTTGGTGTTTTGCTTTTGTTACTGCTGCAAATTTAAAATTATTTATTTATTTATTACTAAACGTATCAAATCTCATTTGAATTAAAGCCTAATAGTTATGTAGCATAACTTTTTAATTTAAAGTAACACGCTCAAATATTATGAAGAGAAATTTGATATTTTTGTTACTCACTTTTCCCACTAACAACTAATAAGACAACCATATAAATTGTGGAGACGGGGTGGCACTGTTGTGTAACTATTAGGTCTATTTCGAAATCCGTTTAAATAATTGAAATTATTCACATTTTAAGGTACATGAATAGAATATGAGGGCTGCTATTTAACTACCATATTTCTTTCAACTCCACTCTTTCATTTTTTTTAATTCCAATTTTATTCAAAGATAAAATTTTATTTCTACCTTCATCCCTAAACCTCTAACCCTAATTTTCCAAATTCTAACCCTAATTACATCACTTCCGGCACGCCGCCGTCCACCTTCCCGTTACCCCCAACCCCAACCACAACCACAACCACAACCATCATTGCAACACTTTTCTCTTTCTTCTCATTCTTTCCACCACCGTGTTGCTACCATCACCACCCACTACCCACTGCTGGTGCCAGCACCTCATTCTCTTTTTTTTCTTCTTCCTCCTCTTCTTCTGAAACCCTAACCATAGATCTTGATAATGCAGTTCGTCCTGGGTGGATGGGCCGGGCTGGTCCAAGCTCCTCAAGTTCTGACTCAGGCGGATGGTTCCACCAGATGACCTGCAAGCAAGTCCACAAAAGGGAACGAAGTAGTCCCCCAGTGAACCCTCCGGCGTGCGAATCAGTAGAGGAGGAAGGAAAAAATATAAAGAGAGAAAGAGAGCGAGAGATAGAAAAGCTTAACCTTCCTCTTGTCTTAGATTCTTGCTTATATCCTTTGATAATCATTTCACTGTCCCTTGTGACGTGCCCCGTTCCGCCGAAAGCCTGTGCCGTAGCTTACCTTGTTCAGGGTGAGGGGGCTCTGTTCCGACGGGGAGGTGTTGTCGTAATAAATGCCGTGATGGGCTGCATTAATGGTGATGTGTTGTGGCAATAACTCTGCAGATCTTTGTCTGCTGATGTGGCCTGTGTTTCACCTGCCATGTGCCCGAATGCCATTGGCCCTCCATGTCCAGATGGCCTCCAGCTATCCTGGGTTTTGCCAACCGGGTTATGCTATGGGTCCCAAGCGATGGGTTTGGGGTTGTTTGCTGTGGGCCGTAAGCCTTGTGGGCCTATCCATGTCAGATCTAAATCCTAACCCTAGCCATCTTCTTCTTCTTCTTCTTCTCTCTCCTCTATCCTTCTCTTCTCTCCAGATTTGAAATCGCAATCTCCACTACAATCACGATCGGGCGATCACTGCAATTGTGATCTCTACCCCTGCTGATCGTGATCGCGAACCCCACCGCCACTACAATCTCTCTCTTTGCTCATGGTTAGGTCGCTAGGGTTTGGAGGCGCGATGGCGACGCTATGGCGACGCGACAGGATTTGGGTTGCTCGTCGATTCAGATGAAGATCTGAGTTGCGGGTGAGGACGAAAATAGCGATGGTTGGGGTCGCCAGAGGCTGGGTCGCAATGAAGCATGGGGTGATGCACGAGAGGGAGGGGAGGCAATGGTGATTGGAAAAGGTCGCCATTGGAGGAAGGGGGTGAGGGGAAAAGAAGAGAAGAGAAAGCGGCGGTGAGCGGTTGCGGGTTGGCCACCAGAGATAGTAGCGATGGTTGCTGGAGTTGGTGGGGATGGGATTACGTTAGGGTTAGGGTTATGGGGGTTAAGGTTTGGGGTTTGGAGTATAGTTGGTATTAAGGTGGAGGTTTAAAGGGAGAATAGAGGGGGCTCATTTTGCTGGGTAGGAGTTTAAAGAAGGGGGAGGGCCAAAGTAAAATGGTATAGAATATATATGTAAAAAATTAAGTTGATTAAATATATCGTTAACCATTTCATTAACTCATATTTGTTATTTATTTTTGTAGATACAAATGTAATTTGATGAAATAATTAACGATATCTGATTAATTTAATTTTTTATAGATATGTTCTACTCGATATATTTAAAAAGTGAAGGTGTAGTTTGGTAACGTTTACGTTTTTAGTTTATATTTACAAAAATTTTATAAACTGATTTTTGTTTAATTATTGTTTATTTTTAGAAAAACATAAACTACAAACGCCTTTGGTAATAATTGACAAAATGTTTAAAAAAAATTTAAAATATAAAAAAGAGTGAGAAATGGCAAGTGGTAGCAAATGGCGGCGGAAGACGGTGGTGGAAAGTGGTGACAGTGGTTGGTGGGTAGTTGGTGGTAGTAGGTGGTGGCGGGTGGGTGGTGGTGGTGGGTGAGTGGGTGACGGTGGCGGGTGGTAGGTGGTAGCGAGTAGGTAGTGGTGGCGAGTGGTGGGTGGCGGATGGGGAGTGGTGGTGGCGGGGGAGTCACTCTTTCATTTTTTTTAATTCCAATTTTATTCAAAGATAAAATTTTATTTCTACCTTCATCCCTAAACCTCTAACCCTAATTTTCCAAATTCTAACCCTAATTACATCACTTCCGGCACGCCGCCGTCCACCTTCCCGTTACCCCCAACCCCAACCACAACCACAACCACAACCATCATTGCAACACTTTTCTCTTTCTTCTCATTCTTTCCACCACCGTGTTGCTACCATCACCACCCACTACCCACTGCTGGTGCCAGCACCTCATTCTCTTTTTTTTCTTCTTCCTCCTCTTCTTCTGAAACCCTAACCATAGATCTTGATAATGCAGTTCGTCCTGGGTGGATGGGCCGGGCTGGTCCAAGCTCCTCAAGTTCTGACTCAGGCGGATGGTTCCACCAGATGACCTGCAAGCAAGTCCACAGGGGGAACGGGGTAGTCCCCCAGTGAACCCTCCGGCGTGCGAATCAGTAAAGGAGGAAGGAAAAATACAGAGAGAGAGAGAGAGCGAGAGATAGAAAAGCTTAACCTTCCTCTTGTCTTAGATTCTTGCTTATATCCTTTGATAATCATTTCACTGTCCCTTGTGACGTGCCCCGTTCCGCCGAAAGCCTGTGCCGTAGCTTACCTTGTTCAGGGTGAGGGGGCTCTGTTCCGACGGGGAGGTGTTGTCGTAATAAATGCCGTGATGGGCTGCATTAATGGTGATGTGTTGTGGCAATAACTCTGCAGATCTTTGTCTGCTGATGTGGCCTGTGTTTCACCTGCCATGTGCCCGAATGCCATTGGCCCTCCATGTCCAGATGGCCTCCAGCTATCCTGGGCTTTGCCAACCGGGTTATGCTATGGGTCCCAAGCGATGGGTTTGGGGTTGTTTGCTGTGGGCCGTAAGCCTTGTGGGCCTATCCATGTCAGATCTAAATCCTAACCCTAGCCATCTTCTTCTTCTTCTTCTTCTCTCTCCTCTATCCTTCTCTTCTCTCCAGATTTGAAATCGCAATCTCCACTACAATCACGATCGGGCGATCACTGCAATTGTGATCTCTACCCCTGCTGATCGTGATCGCGAACCCCACCGCCACTACAATCTCTCTCTTTGCTCATGGTTAGGTCGCTAGGGTTTGGAGGCGCGATGGCGACGCTATGGCGACGCGACAGGATTTGGGTTGCTCGTCGATTCAGATGAAGATCTGAGTTGCGGGTGAGGACGAAAATAGCGATGGTTGGGGTCGCCAGAGGCTGGGTCGCAATGAAGCATGGGGTGATGCACGAGAGGGAGGGGAGGCAATGGTGATTGGAAAAGGTCGCCATTGGAGGAAGGGGGTGAGGGGAAAAGAAGAGAAGAGAAAGCGGCGGTGAGCGGTTGCGGGTTGGCCACCAGAGATAGTAGCGATGGTTGCTGGAGTTGGTGGGGATGGGATTACGGTTAGGGGCTAGGGTTTGGGTTTGGGATTAGGGGTATGGTTGGTATTAAGGGGGTGGGGGTTCAAAGAGGGGACTCATTTTTCTGAGTAGGGGTTGAAAGAAGTGGGAGGGCCAAAGTAAAAAGGTGGGGCAAAATAGCAGCCCTTATTTTAAAATTTAAAAGTTGTAATCCCCAAAAAGGAACAACAAATTGGGATGGGGAGGGAGTATGATTATTTGTTTTGTGTAAGAAAAAAAAAAAAAAAAAAAAAAAAAAAAAAAAAAAAAAAAAAAAGCCACAAGCAGCAAAACACCTCTTATATGTATAGATATATCGTGACAAAAGGAAAAAATAAAGATTTGACTTCTCTCATTTT